AACTCGCTTCGCAGTTAGATTTCGACAGCTGCTGGTTGTAGCCTAGCTCCATATACAACCATTTCAGTTCGTGTTTCATTGTAGCTTAAATAGAACAAGAGAGTCGGGCATGTAGGCAATTAGCTACTGGTTGTACCTTAGTTCCCAATACTTCAGTTGGTGTTTCCTTAGAGTTTAAATAAAACAATGGGCTCGAGACGTACAGGGAGTAATGCCGTCCTCCGAAACAAGTGACTCGGGTGTTGAGGCCTGCTCCATGCAGGTCTCTAGATCGGGTCATCGATCGGGCCATGTTTCCGTTCGCACACGGCTTAAAGCACATCTCACATCTGGGTCAAAATTGTTAAATGTAAGACAAGTAAATGTGACAAAACTACGACAAGCCAGCACATTCAAGACCCCGAACACAGAAATCCGGACACCGATAGCCGATGATGGTCCTGGAACTAATCAGTCATAACTTTAAAGGCCGGCACTTTGCATCCATGCTCTCCACTCAACCGGAGCTTTGTTATGTGTCGGTGTAATGCGACAGGGAGGCTGCACAAAAAGAAGACGCCCCGTCAGCCTTTTCCTCCAACATTTTCCAACTCTCCTCTAAAATATTGCCATTTCACAATGCCTGCTTTATCTGCTTCAAGGCGAAATTCCGGCGGCCAAATCCAGACTACTCAGAGAGTAAACAGAATCCGTGAGTCCTGATCTCGGTGTGTGAGATACCGGATTCATTGTGCAGGCCTGTTTTCGTGAGCAACCGGAAGAGGATCCATCCAAGGAAATCTCTGATTCGCCCGTTGCCGATTGCATACTTAACCTTCCTCGGTGTGTGAGATACCGGATTCATTGTGCAGGCCTGTTTTCGTGAGCAACCGGAAGAGGATCCGTCCAAGGAAATCTCTGATTCGCCCGTTGCCGATTGCATACTTAACCTTCGTGACCAGTTGTTCATCGATCAGTACACAGTAAGGCTTTGATTTTTCACTTGTCACCCAACTTACTGCTTCCCCCCTGCCGCCGCTAAATCATCATTGTCTCTCGCGACATCCTCTAGCAACTCATGGGTTCCTGTAGCTATCTCTGCCTGTGGAGGGGATTGATTTAAATTTTCAGCAGTTCACTGGACCCGTGTTTGGATCGCAACTTCGATATGGATAGTAGCCGGTCGTTACTAGTAACTAGGACTAGAGCGCTCGTGTGCCTGCCTTCAAAAAGTACGGCGGCATAAAGATACTCGACGTTGCTGGGAGAGTTTTCATCGGCAAAGTAACTATGTCGGAGAAACTGGCAGACTTCTGAAGACGCGAATTGCCGAACATGCGGCAGCGGTGCGGCGAAATGATGCAAATTCTCAAGTTGCGGCTCATTCGACGAGACCCGGTCGCTCATTCAAATTTGATAAGGCCGAAATTCTCGCAAGAGGTGACAATCAGGTGAGCCGAGAACTACTTGAGTCATGGTTCACGGGCCCCCAATCCACAAACAAGTGCAACGAC